TGGCTGCAGGGGGGAAGGGGCTGCTGGCTGTGATGCTGGGGGGCTTGCAGGACCCCAGCGAGATGTATGGGTCTCTCAGAGGGGATCAGGCTGGCTGCCCCTTGGTACCGGGAGGGGATTCTGCTCCAGCAGAGGCTGTGGCCCTGCTCGCTGAGCTGGCTGTGCTGGCTTCAGGCCACCCTGATGACCACAGGCCTGGCAGCACCCCACGGCCACAAACCAGCTCCCAGCTGGCCAAAAACAACAGTCCTTTCACACCTTGGGAGAGAGGAGCCAGGCGGCTCCCTGCCAGCACCCAGCCTGGCCCCGGGCATCCGGGGCAGGAAGGCTCAGCCAGCAATGTCACCCGTGCTGCTGCAGGCACCGGCACAGGGAGGAGAAAGCCAGCAGTGCCGGCACGCTTCCCGCTGCCCTCTCCTGCCCTGAGCGCGTGGGAAAGTCCCCTGCCCGGCTGGGGTTACTGGGAGCAGGACCCGCTCAGGTCAGCACCACTCTGCCCTTGCAGCCAGCACGGCACCGTCATTCCTGCAGAGGTGCCCTGCTCAGGGGGCACCCGGCTCCTTCGCTCCCTGCGTGTCCCAGCTACTGCAACCTGGCTGCAGGGCACGAGGACTCCCCCCAGCCACAGGACCGCCCCACCACTCGGCTTCTGACGGTGTCCCTTGGATGCACTCGGTGTTGGAACGAGTCAAAGGCGAGCTGGGAAGTGCCTTCGAAAGCCCGGCACGGTCCCAACTTTGCCGTGGTCCCCTAGGGTTAGCCCTGCTTCCTGGCATGGCCGCAGCACTGCTCTGCTTGCTCTTGCCTGCTGCTGCCCGGCACGTCCCTGCCCGCTCAGCCCCACATGCTGCCTCGGGGCCCAACGCTGGCACCCCCCAGCTGGCCCCTGCAGCCCCCCACGGCTGCTCCCAAGGCTGGCACTGTCAGCCTGTGTGCGCCCCGCTGTCCCCCTGGCCTCAGCCCTGCTGCCAGGGACAGCCCCGAGGCTGCCAGTTAGGGGACCCCCACACCCCGAGGACTCCGTCTTCCTTCTCCCACTCCAACCCTGCCTGCCTTTGCTGGGTTTCCCTCCCTTGGTCTTTCTCTTGTTCCACTTACACTCTGCTGCCTGTTTGCTCCCGTTTCCCTTCCCTCTGTCCTGCTGCCCGGGTGCCCAGACACGTTTGCAGCCCATGCCTCCGCTCTGCCAGCCTGTTTATCTCACTCTCCCTTCCCCCCGCTTACAGCACTTCTGACACCATGGGATTATTTTTCTTTTTCCCCTTGTCTTGTAGCTTTTGGCTCCCAAGGCCCTTGATTTCCTTTGGAGTTTGGGAGGAGAGACGTGAGGAGGAGGGGGGGTGGGTGGAGAGGCTGCCTTTCCTAGGGCCTTCGTCAGAGCGAAGTGGTCAGGAAGAGCTGCAGCCCTTCCACGCCGGAGAGCAGCAAGGCGCTGGGGCAGGAGCCGCGGGATCGCAGTGAGTGGGGCTACCCAGCTCCGTCCACCCCGCGCCGGGGTGCTGGGACTCGCTGGGGTCCTGGCTCCGGCGCCTGGGCGGAGGAGAGACACTTTTCTCCTCCTTTTCCTCTTTGTTGCAGCCATCGCGTCCAGGAGGGGGAAGAGAGCAGCTTTCCCCGGGCAAGGCCACAGGGAGGGGGCCAGCGCTGGCCCCGTGGCTCTGCTCTTGCTGTGCTGGTATGGGAAGGGCTGGGGGCAGCCCGGGCAAGCAGGGTGGACCCTGGCACCGGGGTGGTCCGGCATAGCCGGGGATGTATTCAGGTTTACCTGAGAAATTATAATATTTTTGGACAGTGTACATTTTTTCTGTAAAATTGTTTTATTGAAAAGCTTTTTTTTCCCAGATTTAAACAAACGTATTTTAAATATCCCAAGTTCAGCTCAAAAGGCTGCAGACATTTCAATTAGTGCACGCAGCGCTGCTGCCCCCCCTGCACATGCCACAGCTCCCTCCCCAGCTCCCTGGCCCCAGCACCCCCCCATGCTGTCCCGTGGTGGGGCACGCCGGTGGGCTGCAGGATGATGTGGTGGCACAGCTCATGATGGGGATGCTGCGGCAGGTGCGGTCAGGGCTTGCCATGGGGAGCAGCCAAAAAAGCAAAGGGAGGAATGGTCCCCTGCCGACCCGCGCACCCACTCCCTGCCAGGCACTGCAAGTCTGTTCCCCAGCCATTACCCCTCTCTGCCCCCTTCCAGCCCCTCCACGGCAGACAAGATGAAGCAGCTCTTCCTCCTCTTCCTCCTCGGGCTCGTCACCAGCTCCTTGCAGATCGAAGACAACAAGATCCCTGGGCTGTGCTCAGGGCAGCCGGGCATCCCGGGGACCCCGGGCCTGCACGGGGGCCAGGGTCTGCCAGGGAGAGACGGACGAGACGGCCGGGACGGGGCGATGGGGATGCCAGGGGAGAAGGGCGAGATGGGCCCTCCTGGTAAGAAAGGAGACATCCTGGCTGGGGAGGGGGACCTGCTCTGCCCCGCCCTGTAGGGAATGCCCTTATGCCAGGCGGTGAGTCCTGGATGCTGGCACAGCCCCCCATTGCCAAACTGAGAGTAAATCCTGCAAGACTGCTCCTTTCATGCCACCACCGCCCCTCTGGTCCTGCCTGTAGTGACCCTGTGCTCCTGCAACAGGCAACAGCTCCCCATCACTGGCAAAGCTGCATTTCTCCCCATCCTCACTGCCATCCCTATCTTCCACCCCCTGCTTTAGGAGGGCCCACCAAGCTGTCCCCAGAATACAGCTGCATCACCCTCACCCTGGCTCCTGGGCTGGGGTTTCTCCCAGCCTGTGGTGGTTTCTCCAACTCTCTCTTGCCGCTGTGCCCACTTATCACATGCACCCAGCCCTCCCTGCTTGTGCTGCTTCCCCAGGCAGAGCAGTGGCCACGCCGGGTATTCACCACCCGCGTCCTGTGGGAGGCTTGTCACCCTGGTGGGATTGGGGCTGGGAGGGGGGCTGGGGGAGCTTGGATGGCAGGGGCCATGCTGGTGGCTGTGGCTTAGGGGTAACCTTGTCCCTCTCCTGCCTGCCCCAGGAGCGCCTGGTCCCCGTGGGGAGGTGGGCAGCCCCGGTGTGGATGGCATGCACGGCGAGAAGGGGGCGCAGGGCGAGTGCGCAGTGGCTCCCCGCTCCGCCTTCAGCGCCAAGCGCTCCGAGTCGCGCAGCCCGCCGCTGGCCGACCAGCCCATCCGCTTCGACGTGGTGCTCATCAACGAGCAGGGCCACTACGACCCTGCCACGGGCAAGTTCACCTGCGAGGTGCCCGGCCTCTACTACTTTGCTGTCCATGCCACCGTCTACCGCGCCAGCCTCCAGTTCGACATCATGAAGAACGGCCATTCCATCGCCTCCTTCTTCCAGTACTACGGGAACTGGCCCAAGCCCACCTCACTCTCGGGGGGGGCCCTGGTCCGCCTGGAGCCCGAGGACGAGGTGTGGGTGCAGGTGGGTGTGGGGGACTACATCGGCCTCTGTCCATGAGGCTGCCAGGAGCAGCCATGGGGCTGGGAGTGGGGTGGTGGGGCGAGCTCCCCGCAGGGCTCTGGGGCTACTTAGGGGACCCATCAGCACCCCGGGGACAAGAGGTCGGGATGTGCCCAGCCGGGGCTCAGCCAGCCGTGCAGGGAGGTAGCAGGGCAGGGGTATGGCTAGCAGCACCCTGGATCTGCACCCCGCTTTCCTCGCCCTCCTGCAGGCCGGCAGCTCTGGGACCCGGCAGGCTGGCGATACCGCGCTGACTGCAAGTTCACCTGGCTCTGCGTGGCTCTGATGAGCACAGTCCTCCTCTTCCTCATCGCCCTCCTGCTGGGCATCGTCATCCACCGTGAGTGCCCGAGCAGGGAGGGCTGGGGGACGGGCTGTGGCCATGAGGTGGGGGACACAGAACCAGCTCAGAGGAGAGGGGGACAGCGAGGGCATCCATCCTACACAGGACCTCCCAGGGTCTGCCCATTGCACAGGAGCAAGGGGGATCTCCACCTTCCTGCGATGCAGCAAGGTCACTGGGCCCTGTGAGAGCTGTGTGGGATCCCCTGGGACCTGCACGTGTGGGGTAGGGTGGGAGCACAGGAGATGGGGCTGGGTGGGCTTCCTAAGCCCCTTCCCCACACTGCAGCCATTTCTCCCTGCTGCGGCTGAGCTGTCCCTGCTCTCCCCTGGGCACAGAGCTGACGTCCCCACAGCCACCCAGCGCCCCAGCTGCAGCCCTCCCTGCCCGCGGCACTGCCCCCAA